CATTAAGCACGGATATGAAATTAATCATCATAAAACTATGAATCGGCATTATTGTCAAGCGAAATTGGCGAATCTTAGGCCGTGTCAGGCTAGCGCTGGGATACCAAAGAACAATTCATGAAAAATGCATTCTTTCGCCAGTCTTGGCGCGCAGACTCGGAAATATTTGCTTGAGGAGAGTTTATTTTAAAGAGTCGCTTTATGTGGATTAAGTACACGTTGAGAATGAGTTGAGACATGCGAAGCTGGTAGAATTTACGTTTCCTGTCATAAACACTTACCGTAAATGAGTCGGAAACGAGGTTCCCATACCGAGCACTCAAAGTTCTTTGGGGTTTGTTGCTCCAAAATGGAGGGAAGGCTTTAGTCTGATTCTCATCGTCTCCTCTCTTTCGGCTGTTCTCCTTTCAAGCTCAGGAGGGCCGGTGGAGGGACAATTAAGTTGAACTGTCGGCAGAGCCGACGGCTATGCACCTGATGGTGTAAAGGTGGAGCATGAATATTCACTTGACAGGCAGCACGGAAAGACAGACGCATATGCACATACATACATACACACACACACACACACACACATATATATATATATATATACATTCGGAGGAAATTAAGGAATGTTAATTAGTATCCGAGACATGGAAATAAGCTCCATTGAAAGTGATTTCGTAATGAATATTTAAAAAAGTACCCTTTACATTTGTTGCACAGGCATATTTGAAGATAAATACTTTTTAAATTTAGAACTGGTGTAAGTTTACAAAATGTTGGAAAATGATTTTCACATTTTCGACGCATAACTTTAGACGAATCTTCGCGACAATGGATAGGCAGAAAAGCTCTTCTAATCTTTGCTACAGAAATGTGTTGCTATACTATATTGAAAAGAGTTGTGCTGAGACTGGAAATCGAGAATTATTCCGACATCAAAATTATTTATGAACATTCTTCTCTTGAGTGTCCCATTTAACCGAATGACGTCGATTTCCAGAAGAGATAAGCGCTCCTCTGCTGCCACTCAACTTGTCAATTAGATTATTTCATCGCTATGGATTAGAAACGTGGGAAAATCTTCCCATTTTTGTTTTCCTTTCGAGCAAAGTGCGAAGTATGATTAATACACCTCATCTGAATGATCTTCTCCATACTTGTTGCTGACCATCGGCCTTAGCGCTTCCCCATCGTCGTGTATCTTCCAAAGCCCTTAGGCATTTGCTAAGCCGGCATCATTTCTTGTTTCCGAATTTATCATCCATTCATCGGTCCAGCCATTTCTATGCCTATCCTTTAGCATATCACGTGAGGTGCCATCTTTCTCGAATTGTTTATTTATTTGTAGCATCCTTCATGTCCTTGCTAGTCCCTTCCTGTTTGTCGATCTCTGACGTGGCGATACTATTTGCAATATTTACATCCCCATTTCCCATTTTGTCTGTTCGGGAAACTTGCAAAAACTATGAGAAATGCAATGTTATGGCCTTTTGCTAGAGTCACCTAACAAATTCCTTGGAAATATTTTCATAATACATTTGTTCAGATCACTCGAAGGACTTTCAAGACGTAAAAAGGATAGTTAATATGGCGCTAGGCAACTTGTCGGACTTTGCTTTTCACCCATCGTCACCAACTTTATACGCAAAACTGGCCCCTCCTGGCCCTCAGTTGCGGTGCGGCTTGGGACGGAAGACATGCTTTGTTGCCTCCTCTTCAATCCGTTAGAACTTTCTGAAAGCATCAATGCAGTCTTGCGTCTCCATCCTGCAGGACCAGTTTGACCGGTTGCTGGCGCCACTACTCACATCGACCTCTCTTTCGGTTGCCAACTGGCAATTCAGATTGCATAACAGCCACAGATTGTGTACGCCAAGCCTAACAGCAGACTTGCGGCAAGAGGCTCGATGGACATGTCTGGTGGCTACATGCTGTCTTGAATGAGAACACCTCCTCCGGTCTGGAGGCATCTGGTTGCTACTCGTCGACGGCGGTTTGCTCAGCATTCAAATGAAATATTTGCTTGCAAAAGCACTCGTGCCCCCCAACCCGCCCCGCTGTCATTACTTCCGTTGAGCTCGCATAAACCTAGGCTTTTACCGTCTCGGTTGCATCTTGACAACCCAACTCGCATTCACACCCAAACTCTTTCTGTGCCGCTGCACCCACGTCCGTTTTGCTGTCATTTCTGAGGCGATCGCCTTAAAGTCTGCTTTGCTTGCTCCACCTTGTCAGGCCAGACCGAAGCACAGTCGAACGGAGTTCTATGCTGTTGTAGCGGGTCTGGAGCCATTTGAGGCTGGGCGAGAAGGTGTGCCAGCGCCGGATACGCCTCTTCGACTGGCGGCATCCTCGAAAGAGCTGGCGCACTCTTTCACTTGCTTCGAGCCACTGAATTCGACGATTTTCAGGCAGAAGAAGAGCTTCCAATTGGGCAATTTCAAGCTTATCTCCGTCTCAAACAAAATACACTGTTGTATTCACCCTATTTAGTGTAAGGTGATGAAGAACTGGTAGTAGAATTTTTCCACAATCATATGAGTTGAGCTGACTTTTCCATTGCATTTCACATAGCCTTGCTTTCCCAAAAGTTGTTCTCATCCAGGCTCCAGTGGACTGCAGTTTCGACCTCG